TTTTCTTCGATCTGAATTTTTTACATAATTTGGAATTCATTATTATTAATTACAACAATTTTTAAGTTGTTTAGTTCCATCTTGATTTAGTTTTCAAATGATACTATAATAACATTTACATGTTTATATGATTAATCGTTATCTATAGCGTGATTTCTCCAAAATTTATATCAGAAAGTTTTATCTAATTCCTAAATATATTTTAGACAGCAATTTTAATTTAAATATATTTTTTGTACAGTACAATATTATAAAATAGTTGTTAATACACACTTCACTTATTGATAAAATTATTATATTTGATAGTGCCTAGAGGGAAAGTGTTTTTACACAATCTATTTTTATTTTATCAACATTTCTCAGAAAGAATCATAAATTTTTAAGAATCCTCATAAAATAGTAAGTTCGTGGGCACTGTTAAAAGAAAAAGTATCTCAATTAGGTAATCATCGGGTATAATTGATTGGAGAGCAGGATAGGGGATCCTAGATACATAGCAGTGAAGAATTAAAAAGATAGGAGTAATATTGAAATTCTGTTTCACCATACCTGATATAATATGTTTGAATATTGCTAAGTTTTTTGTTGATTAATAAAATAATCGAACTATTATACAAGATATACAATTATAAATGTATAATAAATGTTTTAAGGGGTGAGTCTTCAAGCCAAAATAAGATGAAAATGAAGAGTGATGTGGTTTCGGCTTGAATAATTATTACCACTTTAGTTACAATGAGTGATGTTCATAGTGGTAGGACTTATTTGTGTCTAAAATCTTCTCCTTAAAGTGTAGGCTATTAAATGGATTTATGGGCACATGCACAAATTTCACAGAAATTTGAATCTCCTTTGAGGCTCTGCGTTCATTAAAACTTATTATGATTTTCAGCTAATTGTATCAACTACAGCAGAACCTCGATTATCTGAACTAATTGTATTTAGAAATATTCAGATAATTCAAAGACTCACATTATAAATACATTGCATATGAAGAATTATTTATTAAAACAATTTATGACATGCATATTTATCATTCTTTATTCTTCCAAACTATAAATTTTTACTTAAAAAGAAAAACGTTTTATTTCAAATGACCGTCTACGTTTTAACAACATAATTGAGGTTGTTCTGTACACCAAAATTAACTGTCATTGACATTTCAATGTCTCCCAATGGATATTATTTACAGTAATTACTTCTCAAACGGGATCCACACAGATTTTGTCAGTTGTAAATAACGTTGTCACCAAACTATTAAGAACATGCCTTGCATGCTTTTTAAATGTGGTTACAATATAAAACTATATTTTTATGATTTCCTTGAAGAAAAAGATAAGAAAAACATTACGAACAAACACGTTGAGAACTTTCAGGAAGCTTATTATCAGAAATTTCTTAACGAAATGGTATAGTACGATTTTATTCTTTGCTCGCAAATCAAGTCACGTCTGATTTCCATTGATTTCCTCGCAACCATTATCAGAATCATGTTCGCAGACTTTATCGGTGTCTATTTTCTTATTTTTTTTTTCTTTTCCCTCTTCGAACGCATTCGACTACCTTGTCGATCAATCATCCCACCGAATCACCGATCGAACGATCCGCAAAATCTTCCCGGTTCAGCCTAGCATGCACTTTTTACATACGCCTTTATTTTATGATACGATAGATTAGCGGTTTTGTTTACGTTGTTGTTGTATTATAGCGGGACCTGAATCCAGATGGTGATGTCGTGACGATTCAACCGAGAAGCGTGGCCAAGGTAAGTTTTTCCTTTCAGTATCAGTGGTTCTTAGTTCTGTAAGAGTACGTCGAAGTTTCTTGGAAAAGTAATTTCTTTTCTTTTCTTTTTCTCTGTACACGGAAGCGATTACAATTATCTATACAGGGTGTCCCATTTTGATCTATAAATGTCATTATTTCCAGAACTATTCGTTATTTAAAAAAATTCTCGAATGCAATTTTCTCTGTCTTGAAAGGTTCTTGAATTTTATTTTTGTGAAGAAATATTTTTTTTAACGAGTTACTGCAAAAAATATTACCATATTTGAAAAAAACAGTAGTGCCAAATTATTGCCCTATCAAAACAGAAGAAATTGCATTTGAGACATTTAAAAAAATAGATTATTTTTTAAATAAACTGAAGAACAGTTCCAAAGATAATTGACGAGTTGTAGGAAGCCCTGTAAGTGCCCAAACCAGAATATTATTTATTTGTATCTTTATCCTACAGTATACAGTTTAAATGTAACTTTCCTTGTTAATACTCATTAACACTAGAACCACTATACCAGACAAAATGACTGGTTTCAGTGTTTTTGTTTCGCAATTATAGATACCTTGAAAGCATTGAATATTCGAAATGATTTTCAAGATAAATAGTTTCACTTGAATACTATAACGAATGTCTGAAGAAACTGAAAATAATCTATTATTACAATTTTTATAGGGATTGCATATGAATCATATTTAATGCTCGGCAGTTCTAGTCTTAATAATACCTGTTATCCATAATACCGATAATATTGAAAGATTAATATTATAACAAAGTAACATTCTTCCCCCTAAAATGCTTGAATTACAAATTTTTCTACAAGTATTCGTCAATTGCATCCACAGATTAAAACTGGACACTCTGTATATGTATTTATCTATCTAACAATTGTGAATAATTTGTTTCTGACGATTCGTTAAATTTTATCGTCGTTAACGATACAATAACAAACGAACACCGAGCAACCCTAAACACTTTTCTTGTCTCGATCGTGTTGGTTCGGTTGTTTCTTTGATTTTTCTTGCTTCCAGTTTCGGTTTATACTTTTTCGTAACGATTTCGTTGGTTGTAAATGATGTAGTTGTCGATCGGTACTTGGGTCGCTCGAGACACGTAGTTGCATTTAGAATGCATTTTAATTCAAAGTAGTATTCGCGGGAAATATTCGAAATAGACACCCAAGGTTACGTTTCTTACGCAGCGTAACGAAACGAGCTGAGAACCATTGAGACGGATCTGTAATATGCGTTGTTGTTCGGCTCACAATCATTTCACCAGCTTCTTGTACTCTTCTCTTAACCTATTTTCATCCTGATTTCACACGTCCCTTCCGGTCTCAGAGCAGGAATATGTAGAACGTGAATCGCAGGTTGGTATGTCATTCAGGGAATTGATGGTACATTACACACGTACGGACGTTTTGCTTCCAAGGTATACCGCTTGTTTTCTGTTCGTTGTACCGTGTATTATAATACCAACTTCTCGATATATTGTAATTCGTACAGAATCGCACTGCTATTTTGTATCACGCCAGAATAATGGTATTTATTTTCACTCCTGTGCTGTCAATACTGGGACTACTGAGCAGTCAAATTGGCTTTTTAACATTTTTCTGTAGAAGCTGTAAGGGTATATTGAGATTTCGATTGACGTATAATTTAGTTTGCGTGTTACTAAATCTATTTGTTGAGTATTTTCTCGGATAAGCGTCTGTTAGTTTGTTAATAATTGTGAAAGAAGAATTGTGGAATTGGCCATTTTGACTCATCCAGTAGTCCTGATGTTAAGATTGGTACTTGATGGTAGGGGTCGAATCCTGAAACTTAATTTTAGCTTCGCGTAAAGTAGTATGTTCATGGTTTCGAGTCTACCTATACCTTTGTAAAAATATTACTGGAAAATTCTAACATTGAGAATTAACATTAAGAACAGAAAATACTGAGGCAGCCACGCGTTACAAGCCAATAGATTTCTGACAGATGTTTGTCGAAATTATTATTCAATGGTACAAAGGTAGTTATGTTATAAATTTATAATTTACTTTGCGATTAGGTTCTTACTTTAACGATAATAGAACACAGGAAATACTGAAGCAACCATATGCGGTGGGCCAATAGATTTTTGAACTAAAATGATTTAAAAGTAATATATCTTGTGAGAAATATGACTGTTCAATGGTGTAAAGTTATTCATATAGTACCAAGATTTATCTTATAAGAGTTACCTTATCGTTAAGAATTGTAACTCTTGAACATTCGAACATAAAGAGTAATATTATGAAGAAAATGAACGAATGTTGGAGTTTACGCAGACAACGGTGTCGCTGAAATGGTAAATTCCATTAATTTATTAATGGATTTTTATCGGTAACACATCGACGGATTTATTAACTTCTATCTTCAGCATGTCACTGGTTAGCACCAATTCCGATTTAATGTTCCTTATTCGTTTGATTTTAGATTGTGTATTTATATCCTCTTGTGTACCACATGATTCACAGATTATGTAGATAATCGTATAAATTTAATCGTCTGCGCGGCACGAAAGATAAATGTGAGTTGTACCATTGCGAAATCGAGCCGTGCAGGTTGTTTTCTCGATCTTTGTGATTCACAACTTATCGCCTGTCAAATGAATTTTGAACAATCGTTTTATTTATGAGAAAATCAAGGAAATTTAATTTAATAATAGAACTACTGGTTATACCAATTACAAGAGTGCATTTATTAAAATTTCGATTGCGACTTGTATTTCAGTTATTTTCGTCGTAGATGTAATTCATCGTTAGTAACTTGAAAATGTTTTATTTTGGCTGGTTGAATCACCTCTTAAATGTTCATTAATGGCCTAGATGCAATTAGAAGCGACGATAATAGCGATAAGAGACAATACTGCGTCAGAACTTTATGCGAGAACTAAGGGATATTTAAGGACTCATTTAAGTCAGGAAGAAGTATTGGTAATTGTGGAATTATCATGGAATGTGATGCTGATTTTTTGTGTAAGAAAACTTTTGTTGAAACTGTTAAAATGAACCGCTCGGTAATTGTTTGTTTTTAAAAAGGAGGATGATTACAGAGACAACTGGGATTATAAAGTTAACTTCTTTTTTTCCTTATTTAATTGCACGAAATTTGGATAAATTGCTATCATTGTATATTAATGAACGTTTTTCCACTTTTACGGTTGAAAATCATGATTTTAAAAAATTGAAGGAATGATAAACGTTTTGAAAAAATAAAAATTTTTGATTACAAGTTTAAGAATAACATAAATATAGTAAGGATTGCGATCATAAAATATTTTTGACTCTGAATGACCATTAGTGTAATTCCGTTAAAATTTCCATTAACAAACATTTTATTCCATTAGAAAAGAAACGAATTAGTTGACCTCGAATCGCTTTGGGAGCAAGTGATTATAATGTAATACAATTACTTATATATATGTTCCTCCTCTTTCCGCTGTACGAAATTATTAACAAACTGCAGAATTTTTCTATGACAAAATTTATGCGGATAATCATGATGTATATAATCTTATTGGTTTTCTGTTAATCGACTGATTTTTCGTACAACAGCATGTAGTTTTAACTTTTACAGAACCGGCGAAGGCCCTTTTAGAGTTTTGTACGAAATTCAAAATTCAAAATTTTAAAGTTTTGAAGTTTCGAAGTTTCAAAGTTTCAAATTTTCAAATTGTCGATTTAAAAACTCACTATTTTTATGAAACATATTGGTCCTCTAAACGTTAATAAAATTTAACTAAGTATTACTTTGCGGACAAAGGTTTTTCAAAGCATTCGGAATCTTGATCACGAAAATCTGCATTATTTGTCAAATTTTTAAATACAAACAAAAAAGAAGAAAACTACGTATTAAACTTTTGTTGTTCAACACGTTGACGCCGTCGTGTACCTCTGATGGTTCAAACTTGTCACATGAAACGGTTTGTACCATCAAACACGTAATCCATGAAATTGATTTGATAGATAGGACATATTTCCATGTAATTGAAAATAATAATAATTAATAATTATTAAATAATGATAATCTGTAATGATTAATATTTAAGTAATTAATAATAATGATTATCATTAATAATTATTATCCATTTAAATTCAATGTCTCCAAAAGCTTCAAGAATTTCACTGCCAAATAGGTAGAAACATCAATTACAGTGCCAGCGTCAACATGTTAAACAACCAAATTATTTGTCTTCAACTTTTTATTTTAGATGCGAAAGCCCCGATGTCCTCAGTACAGCGGCATTCGTCCACAAAGGGTTAAAACCCGCACTAAAGTCAGTTGTAAATGCTTCTCTTTTGGCAGGAGGAAGAAAGCGATGATGACGCGATCACGGCGCAACCCCAGGGTGCCCCGCAGAACAGTTCTTCGAACCAGTCGATCTTCGCCATGCCGCCACCGAACGCGACCGCCGACGAGAACACGAACTTGAACAGCGGCGCCGAGAAAGTTATTTACACGACCGGTATTACGAGCACTTAA